TGATCAATGTAAAAAATATATTATACTGTAAAAGGTACTTGGACACAGATTTAAAGTTAATATTTTCTGTTTTTTTCTCTATAATATTACGAAGTATATATTTTAATAGAATTTCACACAAAAATAACTTTAAAATCTTATTTCATTTTAAAGTTTTTAAAACTTGAATTTTTTTGGCGGGTTTGATTGACATCCTTACACTTTCACAAATTTTAATTTTACTCTTAATACCAAGTATACCTTTAACATGTTTATGAAATGTTCTCAGACCATGAGCTGTTAATTACCAAAACAAAAAATATTACATAACTGTTAAGTTAGATATGATATTTACAAACCCAAGGTTGTGTTTTCTAATACATGACTAAAGGTACCTTGAGTACTGAGATCATGAAATGATACCCCTCTCTCCCATATGGTTAATAGCAAAATTCATGGTTTTTCTATGCATCCCGGGAGACCCGAAATATATGTCCGATCAAAAAGTAAAGAAGGGGGTGCATGATATAGCTTTAAGTTATTTAGTGACTATAAATCCCCTCTTTTTAACCTTAACTTTTTTATAAAACACCATCCGTATAAACCTGGCCTCAACCACATTAGAAATAAAAACAACATTTAATTATGTTTGGCGTGCTTGTCATGACCTTTTATAATTTGTACATTTTACATATTATATGGCAGCATAAATATAGATGAGACAGCAATAGAAATACCACCTGGATCCAAGGAGCCTGGAGACAACAGTAACCCCCCGGAAACGGTATTCTATGCAATAGAACATTATGCCAAATGGTACATATGACAAAGTCGAATGAACCATCCGCCATAAAACAAGGCGGCAATTTTGCCCCTTCAACAGATTGAAATATTCAAAACAATCAAAGTATTTGCACAAAATGCGCACAAAGAGGTGAAATTCACCAACATTCAAAAAATATAAAGTTGCGTCAGATGCGCTCATGATAAAATTGCATCAGATCCGCTAATGATAAATTGCGTCAGATGCGCTCATGATAAAATTGCGTCAGATGCGCTCATAATCCAATTCAAAATAATAAAAATTGCAACAGGTGCGCTCATGTTCAAATTGAAAATAATTCAATCAAATTATTTGACAACACATATCGATATACACCTTACCATGACAAGCACAACCATTTCAAGGAAAGGTCCTGTTCTGAAATTTACAAGATAAAAATCGTTTCAATGCACCCTTTACAGTATTAATAAACAAATCATTGCCTAAATCTGTCATGTGAAGACCATCTGAACGGAATAAATTTCTTTGATTTGCAGTTATATTTGGGTACTTAATAGCTGCTCCATTTAATTTATTTAATACAAGATGCTACTGAACTACTGATTCTCCGCCTACATTTTTCTCCTTCAGTGTCAGCTACTACATTTGACCAGTTTCTACGGTGCAAGATATGAGACCAAATAATGATGCAATTTGGTAATCGTTCTTTTATTTTTGCTAAATTACCCTTTATCATCATTTGTATACCCCTTAAAGTGTTATGCTGTTGACCAATGTTGTTCCCCCCACAGTGAATAATAATGATATCTGGAGTTCTGTTACTAACTAATAAAAAGTCTAATGTTGGGTTTAATTGCTCCCATACCATTCCGCGAATTCCATGCCACAATATTTTCGTTTGGCCTACTCCCAGGTCTACTCTTTAGTTGAATTTCACTTTTAGACAACCCTTCCAAATACAAGTGAGTAGCACCCCCAATGCGAAATGAGTGGGTTTTGTAATTCGAAGTTTTGATATCAAGAAATTTTAAGGATTTATGTAACATGCTAGAAAACTGAAACTGTGTCAATGGCTTTGAGTTAAAGTGGGCAAAATACACATCGCTATCAATTTTGCTAGACAGCAGGGAAAACTCCTTCAACAAATTCACCAGCAGTACTGATTCTGACGTGTTAGGTACCCAAATTGAAGCTCCAGAGCCTAATTGGTCCGTTTTCGAACTTTTTAAAAACACTGATATTCCACTGCCGAAAATCTGAATATCATCCCTTCTTAAATCTATAACTTCATTTACTCTTAACAATGCAAAGAATGCCAAGGCAAAAAATGACTGAAATAATACTGCTTCATAGGTTGAGAATGCCAAATGCTGAACTCCACCTAATAATCTGTGCAACAATGCCAATGTGATTGGTCGACGCATATCACAAGACAAAGATGACTTTTTGTACCCTGCCATCAACTTCTTCACCAAAAAACATTCTAACGGATTGTTCCAAACATTTAAATTAATTAGAAAACTTATCCCTGACATGTAGCATTTGACTGTAGAAAAAGAACATCCCTGCTCAGACAAATAAGCTATGAAATTTAAAATATGGTCAAGAGGTGGAGGTCAGGTTTGCTGAAATTCACAATTGATTCTAAAATTATAAAAACTCTGTAGTCCTTGTTTATAAACTTTACCTGTATTTTCTGATATGCTATCATGTAAAATTTTGTTTATAGTTTCTCCAGAATTTCCCAAAATTGCACTGGTACCGAAGAGGGAAATCGATCTGCCAAAGGGGCTAGCTGCCTGAACCTGGACCACTGAAATCGAGAAATTGCATCAGCCACATTATTCTTCACACCCATTATATGTTGCGCTTTAATTTGAATATTAAATTGAAGAGTTTTCAGAACTAAGAAACGTAGCAGCACCATGACTCTTTTGTTTTTTGACGTTTTTTGATTGATAATCTGCACTAGAGCCATATTGTCTACATGAAGCAACAATTTAAGGTTTTAAAGTTTAGATGACCAAATACTAATACATGTATCCAATACTATGGGAACCAGCTCCAATAGTGTTATATCCCTAATTATGTCTGAGGACCAGTATGTAGGCCAGGATAAACAAGACCAATGATTTCCAAATACTACCCCACAGCCATATGTTCTTTCCTCCTTTCTCTTTTTTCTAGACCATTGCATTTAAGACATTGGTGTAAATAATTACAAATGTATTTATTACACACCACTTGAAAATTAAAACTATAGCATTTTAAACGAGAATGAAATGATACCCCTCTCTCCCATATGGTTAATAGCAAAATTCATGGTTTTTCTATGCATCCCGGGAGACCCGAAATATATGTCCGATCAAAAAGTAAAGAAGGGGGTGCATGATATAGCTTTAAGTTATAAAACTTCTGTGAAAATCTCAATAAATTTTATTCAGTAGTATAAGAGAAAATGCGGATAATGTATGGGTACCCCAAAGCGTAGCAGATGGACATTCAACTAGACAGAAGGACATCCCGATCACTATACCACCTCCTCCCGCTTTTCGGTATATCACAAGACATTTTTCAAAATCATATGTCAGTCTTGAATATTTTTCATATCCCAAAAAAAACGAAATGAATATGAATTTCCCTACATATAATAGTACTGAATTCCGAAACGTCATAAAAATCTTTACCAACAAAGATTCGTAGCGGGTTCCTGTATATGTTCAACCAAGCCCCTTTCGTTACTCCTCACTAAGATATTGACAGAAAAAGGACAGAGTGAAGGAAAAACTTCAAGAGTACTGTGCAACAATATACCGGTATTCGAGAAGTGGTGTAGATCAGACGTGGATACGTAAAAAATTTTAAGAATTTTTAGACAATTTGAAATCACAAGATTTTATCAAAATCAACAGCTTAAAAACTTACGACTTTTCAACTTTATACACAACCAATCACCACGCTAAAATAAAGTCCAGGCTTTTTGATATCATTGAAAACTGCTTTTTCAATAAAAATGGAACTCGTAAATTCAGTTACCTGGTCATTGGTCATTTACAAAATTATTTTATTAAAAACATTCTGACATGCAAGTACTCTGAAGTTATCATTAAAAAGATGCCTGAGGTTCTGATTGAACAATATCTATGTGGGTTTTTTTTAGACCAGCTGCAGGTCTTTCCGCAATCTATTAAAATTTACATGGGTACCAATTGTGCCTCGTTATCAGTAGACCTAATACAATATATCTGTATTCATGTAAAGCAGATTTTGTCCAAATTCTTATACAGGAAAAGAAGAAAATACTTGCTGTGGCCTTCAACTCGAAAATAAAATATATCGACGACGAATTGTCAATTGGCAATGCTTATTTTCATTCTAAGGTCGATACGATATATGCCGGTGAGCTTGAGATAAAAGATGCCACAGAGTCTGACACATCTGTTTCATATTTGGATATTCTACTTTAAAAAGACGTAAATGGTAATTTCACATCCAAGCTTTATGAAAAACCTGACGACGTTTACTTTTCAATCGTCAACTTCCTTTACTTATGCGGCACTATACCTTGAAGTTCATCACATGGGGGTTAATATCTCTTATATGATTTGATACGCAAGAATCGATAAATGAATAAAACAAATACATGCATTCATATTGATCTTTTAAGGTAAAGTTGGTGTGAATATTTATTATTTTGTAGCATAAATTTGTAAAAGTTTTAAATAAATTTGTTAAACTTTTAAATACGCGTACATAACAAGGAATCGAAACATTTTTTGATTAAACTATTTAAAAAAAAATTATTTCCATTTTATCATTTTTTACAAAGATAATCGATTTGCTAGACAAAGGGTATTCATATGTTATATAGAAATAAATTCATTGTATGATAGAGCGTGGAAAAGGTGATATTTCTGGAGAAAGTGTGATTTTTTTTTCTATTTGACAATCATTACATGTGTAGCAGCACAAACGAAACAACAGAAATCACATGCAAGAAGATCTTATTTATTGTCACGCGAATTTTTTTCACAGAGCACATGCAGTTTGTATTAGAATACGATGAAGTTCAGATCTGTCATGAGGGCAACATTATCAAAACTCTTCATACATTTATTTGACGAGTTTTTTTTTAAATTCCATTTCACGTAAACAGTGAATGAAAAACGACAAAATATTATTCATAATGCTTTTTAATGGTAAAATTGGTGAAACAACATTCATTATAGCTATATAACGTATGTGTGTACAAAATATAATAATAAATACATATGTCATGGAATGAATTTCCTTTTTTAAAAAAAAATATACTGAGTAATTGAAATATAGAAGAAATCCCTTAATTAGACAAAGTATTCATATCAATTACGTTGATAATAAATTCAATCTTTTGTTAGAGCGTGTAAAACAAGTAATATTTCTAAAGGATGTGAGACTGTTCTTTTTGACATCTTTTAGCAAAACGAAAGTAACACAACCTTTGATAAATTTATATAAATCATATGCTTTTTTCGCATTTTTCACAGAAGACGGTTTGCATGGAATACAAAAAAAAACTTCAGAACTGTCACAGTGGAAAGATTATCACAACTGTTAATATATGTACATATTGCCAATAAATGCATAATTCATTTTACAGCATCATTAGAAAACTTACATTTTTCTCTGATTCATCGTGTTTTGATTGTATCTATTATCTTTGGACAAAATCTGCTGTATTAAGTACAAGAAGAAAGCAATAACAGCCACCACAAAAGCCCACTGTAATGCCGTTTTCCAGAATGAACTACTTTGTGGGGGAGAGGGGGCTGGTGTCGGTGGAGGGGGTGGAGGTTCAGGTTCTTCAAATTCAACCTTCTCCAATGTGACTGCCTTAAAACGCGGGTTACACAGCTATAATAAAAAGAATAAGAAAGTAAGAAGCCTAGAAAGACATTATAACATCTAGTAAAGTATGAAATACTATGATTTGATGTTCAAAAGCACTTGCGTTTTACATTTAACCATCCTACTTTATTTCTAATGCACGGGGTTTTTGTTTTATTAATACATCTAAATTACACACTTTTGAAAAGGGGTTGTAGGACATGTAGGAATCATGTTATACCTAAATATTTAATCACTTTACGAAAAGATCTGCAAAATTGGCGTTTTTATAGAAAGCGTTAATTTAACATTTTTATTTAAAAAAAAAAAGAAATACCATTAAACACCAACTATTCACTTTCTTGCAACTCGATCCCATTTCTTAAGTGCTCTTTAAGAGAAGATCTCAGTGTTCAGTTCAAATTATCAATGAGATAATATGGTTTATTTGACACGGGAAAACCAAGAACTGTGAGGATGGAGACAAAGATAAAAAAAAATCTACAGAAATATTTACTTCCCGCCACATATTGCTATCTTTTTATCTGCTTTTCAAGAGCTCGCATAGTGATCAGAAGGTCGTGAGTTCTAATCTCGGCTGCGTCTGACGTAAGTTGATAAACCAAAAGTCTCTGTCGTGACTGAAGCTCTACTTGTTTATATTTATAACAAAGGAAGAGAAAAGTAGCAGACGGACTTGAAACTTTGCTACAGCAGTAAATAAAATAATCCTTAATTGGTAAAGTATCTTTTTTGGCAAGACTGTAACCATAATAAAACTGTAGGAGGAGTAGGCATTTAAAATAATTTTTCAGAAATTTTAATTTTAGTTACCATGGAAACATGTTTCATCAAAATTTAAAAAAAAAAACGATAAAGACAATTATGAATCTCAGTTAAGTCTACTTCCATGTCATGATACATTAAAACCAGACCAGTCTGTAGGAGGTGTAGCATTTTGAAAGTATTTCACTGAAATTTCTATTTTTAGTTACATTGTCGACACCGTTTATCAAAATAAAAAAATATGTATCTTTGTGTAGTCAACTTGTGTGCCAAGTTATGGCCTAGATACCGAGTATCTGAAATATAATTCTCCATCATGTTCATGTTCTTTTTCACCCTATAATTATAGTCCTGCTGGACACGTTATTACAGTTTACGTAAATATATTAAATAATGAGGACCTAAGATCACTTATTTTAAAAGATCCTAAAAATATAGGGTGCCCCGATCCTTCAACTGGCGTCGGAATTTCATATATATTATGGATTCTGTTGAAAATTACGCCAGATGGTGGGCCAAATATGAAAAAGAAGACGTTAACACCTTGTCAGAATGGATTAAATGTATCAGGTCCATGTTAAAGTCGCGTATTAAAAGATTGAGGGGTAATATGAAGACCATTTAATCTTCTGTGTAGATAGATTACATGATCAGTACGTACCGGTCCCTGCCGACAAAGCAGGTATCAACATTGCCTTCGTTTGTAAGGCTCATTTTAGAAGAACTAGGATTTCATTCTTCAAGTGGTAATCCTACTTATACTAATACGTCCCTTTCTAAGGAAGAAATTCTTCAAAATCATATGTCAGTTTTTAATATAAACCACAGAGCCAAAACGAATGTGAACTACCCTATATAATATATTGGATTCCGGAACTTCATAAAAATCCTTACAAAGATACATTGCAGGTTCTAGTAAATGTTAAACCAAGTCTCTTTCGTTACTCCTCACTAAGATATTGGCAGTAGTGAAGGAAAAACTTTAAGAGTACTGTGCAACAATATATTCAAGAAGTGGTATGAATCAAATGTGGATACTCAAAAACTCCAAAGAACTTTTGGACAATTTGAAATCACAAGTTTTAACGAAATTAGCAGCTTAAAAACTTACGACTTTCAACTTTATACACAACCATTCCCCACGATAAATTAAAGTCCAGGCTTTTTGAAAACATTGAGAGCTGCTTTTTCAATAAAAATGGAACTCGTAAAATTATTTTGTTAAAACACATTCTGATTGCACACACAAGTACTGTGAAGTTGACATCAAAGAGATGCTTGAGTTTTTTATTGACAATGTCTATATGGATTTTGGAGACCAGGTATTCCAACAATCTATTCATTCTATTGGAATTCCAATATTGTGCTCCGTTATTAGCAGACCTTTTTTTTATATTCATATGAAGCAGAATTGGTGAAAAATCTTATGCGTGAAAAGAAGAAAACACTTGCTGTGGCCTTTAACTCGACATTTAGATATATCGGCGACGTATTGTCAATTAGCAATGGTAATTTCCATTCCCACGTCGATACGATATATCCTAGTGAGCTTGAGGTTAAAGATACCACAGAGTCTGATACATCTGTTTCATAATTGGATATTTTACTTAAAAAAGACGTTAATGGTAATCTAACAACGAAGCTCTATGATAAACGTGATGACTTTAACGTTTCTATCGTCAACTTCCCTTACTTATGCAGCAATATATACCTTCATCACCTGCATAAGGAGTATTATATATCTCAGTTGATTCGATACGCAAGAGCATGCTCTACGTATCGAACGATTTTTAAAACGAGGTAAATTATTGACGAGCAAGTTAATGAAACAAGAATTCAGCAGTCTCGTTTAAAGACATCATCTCGTAAGTTCTATATTCGATACAATGACCTTGTCAGCAAATACAATTTATCATTGAGTGAAATGTATTCATTTCCTGAGATTTCAAGTAGTTATCCAGAAATTTAGACTTGTGTTTTTTATTATATGTATAATTACATTTACAAATTGTCTAGACTAAAAATGTTTCTCTTTCCCCTGCCACCCGGTGTCGCATAATATTCGTTCCGGGTATTTTACGTTCCGGCCGGAACCTTAAAATCATAATATTGGTTCCGGATTTTACTGTAAGATAGGTTCCGGCCATGAGTTCAATCTTCGAATCGCGGTATCTGTCCAGATTTCATTCCACATTGAGTCATGGAATTAGTGGGGGGTTTTCTTGAGGTTTTAGCATCACGCAGCGACATTCTATTTTCATGCGTCGCGCAATCTTTTGTACTTAGCAATTTTAAAAAATAGATGAATAAATAGCCTGATGATACTCTTTCTGATACATATGACTTTGGTCGCATTATAAGGCTTTGTTTATCTTATGTATACAAATCGGTTATCTACAACTCAATTCCTTTTGTTTATTTAGTGCATGCCAGGTGTGAATCTCTCGCTTCAATGCATGCAAACCCGTAAAGACAGGTTAAGAGCATGGTTAGGAGATAAACAATTTAAGACCGGGTTTACGAAAGACTAACATTTAAAGAAACACAATGTCAAAGAATTAATTAATTGATAAATTTTTTATTTCAGAATTCGATAAAAGTAAAGAACAAATATTGATAATTATATATTTACGGAATTAAATTCTCTGTTTAGATGATATTACACGTGTTGACAAGTCGAGGCTCAAACACGGCTTCCATTCCTCATAATTAAAGATTTTTTTTCATAATTAGATATTATTGATGAAATGGCATGATATATGGTTTATATTCCATTTGAAATATGTATATGATTCACTGTTGAAGAATGTTACGTATATGGTTTATTTTCTTCTAAATTAATCTTCATACTACATGTAGGTACAGTACATGTATTTCATGATGATGTGATTTATTCTGTAATGAAATAAACATGGAAACATAAGAATACGAGTATGGTTTATTCCCTTTAATACCAAAAAGCCAAACACGTGTAGTTAATGAAAATGATATTTTTTTTAATCGTCGGAAGAAAAAAAATAGTAATTGAGATATGAAAAGTAAAGACAATATATGTTGACTGGCTCGGCTTTTTATTTAATACGATCAAAAAAAAAAAAAATATTTTTTTTCTTTTTTTTTCTTTCGTCTTTTTTTTTGCTATTTGTTTGTTTTAAAGGAATTAAAATGCACATTAGTGTTACCTCGAGGAATGTCCTAACCACCAACCGCTTAAGATATGTGGTAAAAATAATTATTTCTGCATGGGCGTTTGAATACATAAAACACGATGAAGTTGGTAAAAATATGATCGTTTTATACATGCCATTCATAGGCGTCGGAACCGGAGGGGGTGGGAGTAGGGAGGCTTAGCCCCCACTTTTTTTGCAAAAATAGGCATAATATAGACATCGTACATTGGGGCGTAGGTTTACCCCCCCCCCCCCCCACACACACACACACTTTTTCAACCGACACGTTGCAGTTGAGTTTAAAAAAGGGTAAATGGTAGTGTTTGGAAAAAATACTGGCACTGGAAGAAGTTCTATCATAACTCCCCCCCCCCCCAACCCCAACCCCCACGAAATAGAATTTTCGTGTTTAGACAATTGACACATTTTCCTTTTTTGCCTGTCAAGATTTTTTTTGTAGGTTTGATTTTTTCTTTCACTTAAGCCCCACCCCCCCTTTCAATTTGCTTCTGACGCCAATGTCATTATATTGAAAAATCTCAAAATACTGCTTCGGAGAAAAAAATATTAAATAAATACATGAAGGTTAAAAAAAATGTACATTTACACAGGTACATGTAGGTTAAAGGTAAACTGCAATAATGTTCATGTAGCTGCGCTACGTGTTTTAAAAATCTCACCCCTTCTCCAATTTAAAAGAAAATGGAGATTATATTTCAACAGCCCCACAAAATGAAAAGTTGTTTATCAATATTCCAACATTTTGTTATGGGGGAGTTTCAATTATAACAGTTGCAAAAATGTAAAAGTTTTGTTTAATTTTTAATTATTAATTTGCAAAACATGGAATAAAGTTCTATTATTTTTTTGGAGCATCACTGTTGTAAAATTACGTAGCAGGATCATGGCATATTGTAGTAGCTGCAGATCTGTAGCTCTCCGAAAAAAATAGATCTGTAGCTCTCCGAAAAAATTTATTGATAGACCGGAGAGCTACAGTGCCACTCATTGAAAAAACTGTATATTTATTGCGCACAAAAAGGTGCGCTCGGTTCTTGATTAATTCTTCCA